GTGACCCACTATTTCCGGGGTGCCTTGATAGTCGAAGCAGACTTTGTGCTGTTGAAGCTAGAGAGGTGAGCAGAGTAAGTCTGATTCCCTGTAAGGACTTCTCTGTCGAGATCCACCCCTTGGCGCTCATATGACCTTATGCAGCGCCGTAAAACCTCTACTAAAACCAACTGATCTCTGCTTCTTCTTTTTTGTGTTTGTTACTCTCCTGTAATATCTCTAATCTTCGACCTTTATATGACGTAATTGTGTTGCGGCAAAACACTTATCAAGTGAAAAGAGAGATCTTCGTTTGCCCTGAAATTCGAGGGTTCTTCCCCTTTAATACTTTGTTAGTGTTTATAGGGGCGTTGACCACCCTGCCATGCCAATGAATTCATAGACTGCTGATGATGTGGGTGGTTGACGAGTCCTCAGGTGCGGTTTGCTATTTCTTTCCTACCAAACATCTATTGTACTTATCTCTCCTCTTTCTTTTTTGCGTTTGTTACTCTCTTGTAACACTTGTCATCTGAGGCACGTATACGGCGTAATTGTGTTTCAAGTGCCGTAAAACTCGTACTAAAACAAAACAAAACAAAAAACTCCTGGTGCTCTGACGGGTCCCTTTCTGTCACCGTAGAAATATGAACAGACCAGGGGCGACCTACAGGCCAGTCTGTGCCGCGCCGAGGATGCCACGAAAGAGGAGGAGACGAGGGACAACCTGGACTTTGTCAGCAGCACGCTGGTGGGTCTCCGGGAGGAGGAGCGGAGTCTCAAAGGTGATTCATTACACACTGGTGGTTCACGTGTTGGTCTGTGTTCTCCTCCCTTGCTTGTCTATGTGTTACGGAGCCCCAGGAGTTGTATTACTTTGCCCCCCCCCCCCTCAGGACAATGCTACTTACTGAAGTGTCTTTAGGCCATTCCCAAAGGGGGGATATTAACGTGTTCGTATGCACAGTAGAATTGTGAAAGGGCGGACTTATCAATGTCCCGCTCATACTGTGCCGAAACAACATAGGGGGAACTGCTGCTTTTTCTTTCCTCATCCTTACTATCGTCATTTTTTCCTCTACTACTTTTGTATGTTTGTCACTCTCTTGTGAACTGCTATTTTCGGGGTGCCTTAAGAGTCGAAGCAGACTTTGTTCTGTTGAGGCTAGATAGGTGAGCAGAGAAAGCCTGATTCCACGTTTGGATTTCTCTGTTGACATCCACCCCTTGGCGCTCATATGACCTTATGCAGTTGCGAGCACTGTAAAAACCTTACTAAAACTAAAAACTAAGTATAACTCTTTCTCAAGCTCCTACTGCTGTACCCTTCCCTGTAAATAATGTTAAGGAGTTTACCAGTTCCTATCACTGTTGGTCAAGAAGTGTCAGAGTGGCGGACAAGTCCGTCAAATGTTAATCTGACACTGCCCTGCCAAAAGTAACTCTTTGCACCGAGCCATAAGTCGGTTCTCAGGACTCAGTGTTGGTTCATCGCCGCTTGAACCATAAAGCAGTGGACTGCCCCTCTCCCCCTCCTTCCAAATTCCTTTTCTTTTTGTCATTTTTGTTACACCATTAACACACCCCCGCCCGTTCTGTTTTTTTAATACCAATTTACTATGGGTTTTATTTTTTTGGGACATCTAGGAAAATAAATGAAAAAAAGCAACTATAAAAAATTGTCCCAGCAAGTCCAATGTTTGTCTGTGATACATTGCTGTTTCTCGTAAAATACTGTGATGATGTTCTGACTGATGTCGTCTTTTTTTTTTAATTGAGAGTCAAAACATTAACTGATTTTTGCCTTTCATTGCACGAGTTTTCTGCATGGCATGCTACTATTGCAGTTATGGGCAAAGGGTTTGTGCGCCAGCTTCTTTCTTTCTTTTTTTTTTGTACATCTCCTGCCTAATCACCATTATACCTTAGGCTGAATATTTAACTTGGCAGGGTAAATGCATTTTCTGCTGACGGATGGATGTACTTTATCTTTTAGCTTGACCGTTTGTTTTCATTTTTGTTTAGAATACATTTTTTTAAAGAATGCATCATTTATAGATAAATATATCATTTTATATGTGCTTTGGTGTTTTTGTAAACTTTGTCAGACTTACAAATAGTATTTCATTGTAGTTTTATTATTATGCCCTAATATATTTTACCGACAAGCTCTTGACCCATGGTCTAGTGAACTAGAAATATGAGGGAAATAATTAAATAGCCCCATCCCCCCCCCCCCCCTTTTTCCTTTTACCCCTAGCCTCTTCAAAATCTGAACAAGGAAATACTACGTTAATGAAAAATGTGAAAGGACTTTTGGTGGGGGGGGGGAGGGGGGGCATAGTGTAATAGTTTGGTATGCTCCCTTTGAAGCGTTCAACCCAAACACATACTTACTCCCTTTGAAGTGCCGATCGCAGTTTGTTTTGTTATAAACTTATTCCACCCTCTTGTATTGTGGGAGACAAACGTATGAAAATGCTTCAAAAAGACTTTTTTGTCATAAAACATTTTGTACCTCAAACAATATAAGTCAGTGCTTGCTGTATTGCCCATTTGGGAAAGATTGATACATTTTGTGGGTGATGGGGATCACCCGGATAGTTGCGGGTATTATTTTATGCCCAGCTTTGAAGTCCATGTTGATGGGAGGTAAGAACATTTTAGATTCTTAAGGATGGTGAAAGTAGGCGCTGGCTGTTCAAAAAGTTGACACGCTCTGGTATAAGCTATTGCCATAGTGTCACATGTATCTCTGAATTCCTTGCTTCCGCAGAGAATTTATTCGCCCTCAGCCCGCAAGAGGCCCGGCTTGAGAAGGCACGCCTGCTCGCCGCTCAACATGCAGAGGAGGAGGAGCGAAGGAAGGAGGAGGAGAGGAAGAAGGCAGAGGAGATGAAGGAGAAACACCGTGAGCAGAGGGCAAAGGTCATAGATGAGATCCTGGAGACGGAGAAGGATTATCTGGTCAGCCTGCAGCTGTGTTGGGAAACTTTCCTTGATGGCCAGGTGAGTTTTGTAAACATTTTTCCCTCCTATTCTACACGATTTAGATTATTTAGAATGTGAGCTGGTTCAACTGTGCCTAGTATCAGGGCCATCCCTGGTTTAAGTAGGTTGTATCATCCCAGCAGACTTATGGAAATACTTGATTATTTAACTTTCCCATGCGAGAGTCGAACCCATACAGTCTGAATACAGTTATGAAGAGCCTCATCATTATCATCATTGCCTTCCTTACCCTGGATCAGGATACAGACCATGAACAAACACTTTCAACCTTTCCGTATCATGGGCTTGCCGCTTGAAGTTATTCCTTGTCTTCCCACTTTTCTGTACTTCAATTCCTGTGACTCTGGTGTGGAGCCTACTTGTAGAGTAAAGATTATCACACACACACACACACACACACACACACACACATACACACACACACACACACACACACACACACACACACACACACACACACACACACACACACACACACACACACACACGAACACACGAACACAAACTCTCATACACAGTCTCACTTGTAAAACACTCATGTACACATGTATACACACACACACACACACACTCTTTCTCTCTCTTTCTCTCTCTCTCTCTCTCTCTCTCTCTCTCTCTCTCTCTCTCTCGGTTTCGCTGTCTTTTTGTGTGTCTCTCTCTCTCTCTCTCTCTCTCTCTCTCTCTCTCTCTCTCTCTCTCTCTCTCTCTCTCTCTCTCTCTCTTTCTCTCTCGTGTTTGGGTTTAAAATGGACAGTAACACACAAGATGTCTTCTCAGTCATTGAACTCACAGTCCTGTCCAGTCGTCCCTTTTCTTTGCAAGTGTTTGGAGGGCATCACTGGAAGGTCGTGCTTTTTAAATTCTCCTTCAGTTGTTTCCATCTGTCTGTCTAGCTTGCACGTAGTGAATTTTGCAGGATATGGAAGCCTTTTCAGAATGACCAAACTTTGCCATGTACATGTTTTAAATATGAAGAAATTATATGTATAAGGAAAAAAAATGGGACCTGAAAACCTGTATGCTATGTGCATGTTGGCTCTGTTCGTGTGAGACTGTATTTCTCAGCATAAAATAACTTATTCTGTTGATTTGCTTGTCTTTACTCGTGCAAACAATATTTTGTTTTGTTTTTTCACCAAGTCCACTCGTGTGTACATTGTATATGTTATGTGTACATGCCAGGAGCCTCCCAGTGGTGTGGACCTACACTTCCTCCTGGGCAACATGGAGGAGATAGCAGACGTGAGCCAGAAACTGCTGGTCAATCTGGAAACATGTGTGGCAGGCAAGACGTTTGAAGAACAGACTGTTGGTGAGTGGTCAGAGTGGGCAGGCATGTTGTGTTCACCATAGGGATAGATAATTTGGTAATTTAAAGTATAACATCCCTCCCCCCCTTCAAAGTGCTTGAACTAGGGTGCATTGTCATCGAGGTGTCACTGCTTTACTGTAATCTGGGAGAAAGCAGGTTTTGATGGAGGTTCTGAGACAAGGCGAACACATTCCTGAGATTGCTGGTCTTTGTATAGGGGTCTGTATGGAGAAGACTGCCTAAAGCCTTGTACAGACAACTGTACGGAGTAAACTAATTTTTTTTTTTAACTTATGAGACGAAAAGGCATATATATATTATTAAAATGTCAGTCCCATTTAATCAAAAAACAAAACAAAAAACCCCTCAAAAAACAATATCACACTTTGTATCCATTCTGTGCAGGTAAATGCTTCACATTCTTTGCGGAAGACATGAAGAACACATATGCCCCCTACTGCCGTAACCATGACGACGTAATCACAGCAATGGAGCGTTACTCAGAGAACCCGAGCATCGGTGACTACTTCAACCTGAAGCTGGAGACGATGCGAGAGCAAATGAATGTCTTTGATGTAGCAGGGATGCTAATCAAACCGGTGCAGAGGATACTCAAATATCCTCTTTTTCTCAACGAGCTGCTTAAGGTATGCTCGTGATTTTGTTTTCATGAAGTTGTTTCTTTTTTTTCTTTCTCTTCTCGATTTTATAAAACATCTAATCTGGTCTTGCTCTATATGTTGCCCTTTACGTTTTGGGGATTCAGAAATTTTTGCTTGTGTTATTTTTAAAGAACATGTTCATGCCTGAAATCTCTCCCCCATCCCCACCACCACTACTTCACATACTCCCAAATGCTTGCACACATGAAAATACACACTCACGCACACAAATACTCTCATAACACGGGCAAAGAGGAGTTCTCAATTTTTTCAGAAACTTGTGCAATGTGTTTACGAGGTGCTGTTTTAGTTTGTCACTTCAGTCACCTTTTCTTTGAAGCATCTGGCATATGCCCCATCCCATTTTTATTCTTTAATCTATCATACTGTCTCCATATACCCTTGTAGAATACAGAGGATGGCCACCCTGACAAAGAAGACATTGTATTGGCCATCAAGGCCATGACAGATGTGGCCAAGGCCATCAATGAATACAAGCGGCGCAAGGACTTGGGTAAGTTGACTGTGTTAGAAGCTGTGAAATTATGAGTGGACTTTCAGCTAAGATGCTTGGTGAAGAAATAAGGAAATGATTTTTTACTTCTATTTTTATAAATTCTGTTTTTAATAGCTAAATACTGTCAAACCTGCTATAATGGCTACCTTTCGAAGATGATCTTCTATACAAACGATCACTTCCCACTTTCCCCCTTGTGTCTTTTATTATAATAATGACTCTGTCTAAGACATCTCCTAGACGTTGGGTGGTCATCTTTGAGTTTCAGTTACCAGGTGTAATTTTGTTCTTTTACACTCTCTTCTGTATCAAATATTACCCAGGTTTAAACAGCACCAAATAATTGTCGACAGTTCGTATAACTCTGAGACTCTGGCTTGTAAGGTCTCACTTGTGTTCCTTGAACCCTTTACTAGGGTCATCGTACCTTTTTTTAAAAAACTGATCGCAGGACTTTTATCTCACACTAAATGACCATCCTTTGGCGATGGTATTTAATTGTCTGTGTCATGATCCAACCTGACTCTCCCTCTATCTACCTTCACCACCATCCTTATAATGTCTTTTTTATTTTTTAATTGTTATCATTTGCAAAAATTTATTTTGTGTCTTTTTAGGTGGTTGGCAGGTGCTCTGGTGTTGTTTTCTTCTTCTCTCTCACCAAATATCTATCCCCCTTATCTTTTCTCCTTTTTTGTATGTTACTCTTTAGTTACACCTCCAATCCTCGGCACTCATATGGTCTAAATGTGTTGCAAGTACCACAAAACTCTTACTAATAATAAACTTTGTTCTTTTTTCTTCTACTGTCATTGCCGTCACCAGAAAATAGAAACTCCTATGTTATTTACTTACCCTGTTAAATAAAGTTCAGTAGAGTTGCTCTTTTTTTTTAACAATGGGGATGATATGGTTCTTCACTGACTTTCCTCTTTTTGTTTTCCTTTCCTCTTGTCATATTTCTAGGCATATTCAAACAGTATTATTTTTTCTCATCTGTCTTGGGGTTACCAATGTATTTCCAATTTGTCTAACAGTGTACAAGTACAAAAAGTTCTCCGACCAGACCTTCTCTGACAAGATCTCAAAACTTAACTTGCACTCAATCAAAAAGAAATCATCCCGCATCAGAGGACGACTCAGCACCAACTTTGGTATTGCCCTACAGGTGAACATCTTTAAACTCTTTATTCAGTTCTTTCTCTTGAGCACAGTACAACAGAGCCGTAGCAACGTGTTCCTGCCAGAGATAAAGCATACAGCTACTTTCAATGTATATGTTTCAGGGTCTGGTTCCCTGCTCTAACTCTAAGATATCGTAGTTTGTGTCAATGCTACGACAAACATATTTCCTTGCTCATGTATTCTTCCCGGGAAGCTGAGAATGTTTTTGAGTGTTCTGTGGTCTGCTGGGATAATAATATAGTGTAAAGCGCATAGAGCTTGCTGTAAAGTGTGGTTGTGCGCTATACATATGCTATTTTTAAAATTATTATTAATATTATTGTTATTTTTCTTCTTATTATTATTGCATGGGGAACATTATGCCGACGTTTTTCTGTCCAAGAATTCAGCTGCCTTTAAAGTCACTGTTTTTTCCGAGACACCTTTCTAAATTCTAAGCATGTAGTTTGTCGATTTGTCACGCTTTAGTTTCTGTAACAAGAAATGATTTCTGTGACAAGTTTGATCCCTCTCTGCTCTGTGATGCACATCGGAACATTTGATGCTTGCTCCAAGCAGTACCGTTAATTTCTATTTGGCCAATGTAGGAAATTTTGAATTATAAACACAACTTGGGCGCAAAATACTCTTTGCTTCTCCTTGAAACGTATTTCTACTTCATTGTAGTCTTGTCATAGGGACCAAGTACTTGAAATAATGCCATTGTGTCTAGTGAGACATTTAGACTTCATCGAAAACAAACCGTGTAGAACTGGTTCGAATTTGGCTTGAAAGCTTTGAGGCACATTTCTGTGGTCAAAATTTGCTGGATATTCTTAAAGCAAAAGTGTCTGACTTGTACTCGGCAACAATTATTATTTATTCATTTTATGTAGAGAGAAAAAGGGTATCTGATGAATTGTTCAGAGTCTTGACTCGGGGTTGAAAAGTAATTTCTCATTCCCCTTTTTAGCATATTAGCGGTTGCCTGAAAAAACTACTGTCTGTTTGCATATTTTTTTCCTCTCTTTCTCTATTTGCTTTGCTCTACCCGTATGTTTGTCAAACATACTAATGTATTCTAAACTTTCTTTTTAGTGTAGAGATGAAGCATTTGAAAGGGAGGAGGCTCGCTTTCGCAGTTTAGAAAAGGCAGTTAGGATCTTTCAACGCAGTGTGCAGCAATACATGGAGCAAAGTCAGGTGAGAGCAGCATGGAGTTTTTGTCCTGAGGAATAAAAGGTATTCTCTGTCCTATTTTGCTGAGCCTGACAGTTATGCTTGATGTGAAGTGCTCCTCGGTGCTACATACCTAGAGTGACAACAGGTGGTGTGCCTGAGTTTATGGTGACTCATGCTATTTACTGTTTTGTTTAGCAACACGTCTGGGCTATGGTCCATTAAGTTTTCACAAGGACACATTGACTCGCTCTTCCCCAGTACAGCTTAAAGTAAATGGACTCATGCCGCGGCTCTTCCTGTGTTAAAGTGAAATACTAAATACCACCCCTTTTGATAGTCCCCTGATCTTGTATAAGTGATCAGTATTTGTTTTAACGTTAAAAGATGACTGTGTATCAGGAATGGCTTTTAGTCCTATTGTCTTATTATTACCCTTCCGAGAGAGGGAAAAGATAATGAGAAGCTGACAGAAACGTTAATGCTAAGATCGTAACCAAATTCCATTGGCAAAGAAATAATGTGAAAGATGATGGAAAGGGGGAGGGGAAGGTGAAAAATAATGGACTCCGAGGCCTTTACTGAAATTCGAACGCTTGCAAGTAAGAGAAGTAGACGCTTTACTTGGTGCCCTTACTAAAAGATGCAGATGGATTGGGGGATCCCTCAACTGCAGGCTAGGCCCAAGAATTCAAGAAGTTGTAAGCAAGAATATTGAACTTTGGAGTTTTTATTTGTGAACTAACCTTTGCAATTGACAAGTCTCTCTTATTCTGTGTTATTATAAGGATTTTGCTAACCAGTGCCTTTTTTTGATCAGGTTGTTAGAGTTTACTTCCAAACGACTGGCTCCCTACCTAACTTGCATAAATCATATCTGTGTGAAACAGCTTGAGCTTCATAATTGAGAATTCAAATGGTGTCTTCTTAAGTCTTTTTTTTTGGTTTTGTTTTGTTTGTAATTTTTTGTCATTTTGAAAATCGTTTTAAATCTGTTTGAGTTTAAAGAAATTATAATTACCTTTTGGATATGCCGTTTTGGTATACTCATGGTAATTCTTCTCCCTGAAAAATTATTTTTGTTTTTAATGTTCGTATAATTCTGCTAAAACATAATAATATAGTGTTTCTATCGCCTTAACCGGTCTCTAATTTGAGTGTACCGAAGGCAGGATATTGGGATGTATGGAGGCCAAGAATAGAAATAATAACTGATATGCTTTCTCCTTTTTTGGTGGTTTCTACAGGGTATTGGTCCACATACTTAATTTAATCACATTTTTGTGGGTGGTTGGTGGGTGTTTGTGGTGTGGTTTGCTCCTTCTTTCCTGTCGAGTATCGTTTCTCTTTTCTTTGTAAGTGGGTGGTTGGCGGGTGCTCTTGTGTGGTTTGCTCCTTCTTACCTATCAAACATCTATCGTCCTTATCTCTCCTCCTTCTTTTTTATGTATGTTACTATCTTGTAAAAGATCTATTCCTCTGCACTTATTTGACCTTATTGTGTTGCTAGTGCCGTAAAATTCTTACTAAAACTTTTTTTTGTATGTGCCTCTCCATTAGTAACACCTCTAGTCTTCTGTGCTTAAATGACCCAATAATGTGTTGCTGCCACATAATATTTTTACTTAAATGAAAAGAAACTATTGATGATCTCCAGCAAGTTTTCCTGTGATAATGATGTTATTGTACCCATAATTTTGGAGTTTTGTGTTCTTTCTCTGAATTGCAAGATAAACAGTATTGTTCCTTTGCCTGATGTTGTTGTATTTCTTTGGTATCAACTACGTCAATGCTCTTTTTCAACAGCTGTACGAAAGTAATCTGTAAAAAGTGATAAAAGTTAGCTTATAACATGACATCCCTCATCAAAGCTCAAAGGTTTTCCTACTATGTCAGACCAGTGTTCGTTACCTTATTATGGCTTACACCCACTTTTAGTACCTTTTAGAAGTTGAAATTCTCGTACTGCCTACACACATGGATTTTCAAGCGATTAAATATAACACCTGTCACTACCCAGGTGATGTCCACCACCCACCAAAATTACCGAATTGCCAGTACTGAGCCATGCTGCTCAAGCTAGCAAGAACTGAGACAGTCTGTCACATATTTTAAATTCTATTCACTTTGTTGATTTGTTGAACTTGAAGCACGATCACAATTGTCTCCAGGATTGTGTATCCATCTCTAGCTGGGTTAGTCCTGGCAGGCAGGGACGAAGCCGCCCACTACCCAAATTATGATCTAAACTGTGTCAATGGGGGTGTAAAATCATTAACACAATTCATTATAAGTTAAATACTGCAAATAAAAATGAGGTACTCCAATGGTTTTTACTCATCCTGTTAGCAGGTTTGAGCGGAATTTTTCAACAGCAGCAATATGCAGCTTCAAATATGGAAATTTTTAATTGATTTGGCACATAAAAGGTATTAGTATAGTGAACCACCATATGTAAAATGTGTTTTAGAAAAATGTGAAATACAATAATCATGAAAGCATACTGTTGATTGGTTTTCTTTTATACTTCATTCTCACTCTCTTTCTCTCTTTCTCTATGGCAACAGGATTCAGTGGTGCGCATACTACTTTTTAAATGCAACATTAGAATTCGTAATGGGCTTGAATTTTAAATTAGCTTTTGTGAGCCACCTGTGTGCCAAGCTGTTATTGATTTTCTGCCTGTGCTCACTTGCAGGGAAATTCACTGTGGCGTGTCCTAGTGTGTCATTGTAGATAAGTCAGGAGAGAGAGATGTAGTTATTTTGTTTTTTGTCCTGTGGTTTTTGTAAGTTTGTATTTTGTCCTGTGGTTTTTGTAAGTTTGTATTTTGTCTTTGTGTCAAAGTCTTTGGATGTGAGGTCTTACATGTGTGTGTGTGTGTTTGTGTGTGGGTGTGTGTGTGTGTGTGGGTGTGCATGCATGCGTGCGTGCGTGCGTGCCTGCGTGCGTGCATGCATGCATGCATGCTTGTTTGCGTGTGCATGTATGTGTGTGTGTTCGTTTGTTTGTGCGTTTGTTTGTGCGTTTGTGTGCAGACATAATATTTACCTTGATACACTAATACATCATGATACATGTAAGTCAAGTAGACAACAAATGCCTACATATACACCTGCTTATAGGTCTTCCTGAAAGGACACACTCATACTCATTACGGCAATCACTGAGTATTTCGTACATGTTTCCAACCAATGCTTTTGTGTTCTCATATGCTCACACTTACTTACTCGCAAAACAGATTCCTTTTGAAATTAGTGGCACCAACACTTACAAACACATATAGATTCAAAGAGATGGAAAAGACAGATTTTGAGAAATCATCGTCATGTAACCCCAATTCCTAAAAATTGAAGATTTTGATGAAATAAAAACATAAGCTTATATAGCTTGTATCTGTTTTTCTTGGGGCAAATGCTGGTACTGAACAAATCCCTTTTCTATTCATTTTTCAAGTTGAGTTTTGGACCTTGTTCAATGATTGTAAGATGTATCTTTCTGTCAAGAGATGAACAAAAATGAAAAATCAATATTCTAACCCTAACTTGATCTGTGGAGTGTGAATCGTGGACTGTATGCTGACCTTAATTGTCATTTTGAACGTGAGATTATATTGGATAGAAAAATTTTGATTGTGGGTGGTTTGTTTGTTTGTGTTATGGTATGGTTCGCTTCTTCTTTTGTATAATGCATTTATTGTCCTCATCTCTCTTCCTTTTATTTGTATGTTACTCTCCAGTGACACCTTTAATCTTTGGCACTTATATGACCTAATTTTCTTGCTAAACTCTGAAAAAAAAAAAAAAAGACTCTAATGAGTCATGAAAGTAAAAAGCTTTGGAAGTCCAATAAGTCCGTACCATTAAAAGACCTGCTTCTTACGTGGTAGATGTTTGATGTTTTGTTCCCAGGAGGCGATGCGGTGCCAAGAATCTGTGGTGGAGGATATCTCTGACTTCTACCGCGACAAGGAATGTGTAGAGGTCACCCGCTACAAAGCTGTAAGCGGGAAGTTTCTTGACTTATATGAGAACATGGTGAGTCCCTTGGACCTGGAACTGTGCACATCTGTGTTAAGTTTTTTTCCTTTTTCCAGTTTGCCAAAATTGTAATGGAATTTTAATCTAAAATGAACAGCATTTTGAAAACAACAAACCCTTCTGGAGATGAAGGGTATATTGAGATATCATTAAAATGAGACCTAGAATTTTGCTTTTAACACAAGTGAAGTTTCTGTAATATACAGAAAGATCATTTTTTTCTATTCTACATCTTTATTTAACAGGGTGTTGTCAGAATACTCCTTGACACATTTTGTTTCAAATTCTTTTGAAGAAGCATGTAGGAAACAATTTTGCTAAAATTTTGAAGTGTTTACTCTTGCGAATGGACAAAGATTTTCATTCTGTGAAAAAAACTGTATCGGCAGAGAAAAATAAAGGGACTGTACATCTTTTATTCACTCTTAATACAGTCTATTTCATAGAAATCTTCAGCAGCTGGTTTTTCAGAACTTTTTCTTTGGACAAAGTTCCTTGAAGTGCTTTCACGTTTACAGAAAAATCCACTTGCACCCAAATTAAGAGCAAAATGCTTTTATTCTTTTTATCCTGGCCATACCCCCACAGACTTTGTCCCCGTCCTGGGGCTGCCGCGCCATACGAGTTGGAATTCAGGGTGTATATTTCAAAGTGTTCTATTTCTTATGTTTACTCTTAGGGTTTAAGGAAATTAAGCAGTTTTGTTAGAAATTGAATGTAGTTTTTGTAAAAAATTATGTGGTTAGGAATTACACCAATTGCAGAATGTAGATTTTGAGGTATATTCCATCCTCCTACTTGACCCTGATTGCCGCCCACACGATGTCCCATTGGATTTTATAGATCTAGCCCTACCCATCGTGAACGTGCGTTTTCGAGACATCTTTCAAGCTTCTACACCCATCAAAAACAAAGAAACTGCTGTTCATTGGAAAATTTAAATATTCAGACAGCTTGCATGGCTGTATTTGCGTATTTGGTAATTACAAGCAGAACTAGCTTCTTTGATGTGACTGTATCGCTGTTCCGAGTTTACTCGTAGCCCGGACTAGTCCTCGTTACAAGTATACTCATAGCCCGAATAAAAAGAATTAAGAGAAACAAAGTGTGTCTAGCATGCAAAAATGTAAATTTTAAATATTTTCACCTGTAGATGGAATGGAATTACTTAGAGCCCCTCATACATGGTTTGCCCTGTTGTGATGTGCTAGTTATGGGAATTGTAGGATGTCTTGTGTTTGCAATGTCTTTGTGTAGGTGTGGGTTTTGTAGTTAGAAAGTAGAAAGGAACGAACAGTAAAGAGAGCGCGCGCGTGAGAGAGAGAGAGAGAGAGAGAGAGAGAGAGAGAGAGAGAGAGAGAGAGAGAGAGAGAGAGAGAGAGAGAGAGAGAGAGAGAGAGAGAGAGAGAGAGAGAGAGAGAGAAGAACTGGAGGAAGAGAGAGAGAGAGAGATAATAATCCTTATTGGTTGAAATGTTCCTCATCTTCCTATCTTGTTCATGTCTTTCTCAGCGTAAGACAATCGAAGAAGTTGTGATGGAGCCCCTGAACTCTCTAATTGCACTATTCAACGCTCCGTCCCACGTGATAGAGAAACGTTTCGACAAGTTACTGGACTACAACTATCAGCTGGGAAAGACAGAAAATGATAAGGTTTGTGAAGAACACATGGTGTTGGTGTTTGTGTCCAGACGTCTGCTCTGTAGCGAGATGATATTCTGAGCAGGGACATTAGAACTGAACAAGCTGCTCTGATCTATGTCAAACTGTCGAACTTCTTAAGGTACTGCTCACATGACTTTTTGACTCTCATGGCCTACTTTTACTTAGTTTGAAAATTTGTAGTCTTTCCCAAATTCTTATGCTTCACTAACATTAGACATGATACAAACTGATAGTTAATTCTTCCCTCTTTTCATGTATATATATCTCAAAGTGATTGCTTCTAGAAGAGGGTTTGTGAGTGGTTGACTTGTACTCTGGTGTGGTATGCTCGTGTCTTCCTATCAAAGAGTTTAGTAAAGTGGCCTCTTGCAAATCTTTTTATGAAGCTGATAGCTCTGGGTACAGTGTTCAGTTGTTTATAGTAGTCCAGCTATTTTATGGTTGTTATAACCAAGGGATATAATTCACTGTCATAACTTACAAGTGGTTCAGCACAGTGCTCCATTCTTTCCCTCCCTTACATCATATACAGGGTGTCACAGAATGAAGTGTATATTTTTTAATGTTCATGTATTGATAATGATTGAATAGAAATAATACTTCTAGGTATCTATGGAAAGCATAACCATATACTTTTTGTTGGATTATAATAATGTTAATAAATCAACCTTCAAAAAAGAGAGAATTGTAATATAAAAAGCAAAAAAGCTCGTAAATCAACACTTAACTCGCCAAAATTGTGCAACATGAAGCTCCTCACTGACATAGACAATTTGGAAAAGTATATTATGAGAACAGTTTTTGTTGTCTTCCAATCATAACAAATGCTCGAAATATGCTCAGTTCCCCTCAACACGACATGGCCTCACACATCCGGCAAAATTTGCCATCACTGTCACATTCTTAGTTGTCTTGGTCCCTTGCCTTTTATTTCATACTTGAGTTCCACTAGGTCTCCTGAATGATTTTGGTACACATTATCTACCCACATCAAGTGGGTTTAAGTCCAGAGAATGGGTCTCCCAGTTGTTCCCACTTCTTCTTAATATCATGCTAGAGTTTAGGGTTTGATTCTGAGACGGTCCCATGTTTTTATCCTTTTTATAAACCTTCCCTGTGTTTATATGTTTGTTGACTGTAATGAATGCCGATGCTTTGCTTTATTTTTAATACATCATTTATTCATCAAATTCCTTGTATTTATGTGCCATTTCAAAATAAACAAAAGTCCCAACTCTGTCACACACAGGAGCTGCAGGCGGCTAAAAATGACTATGAAGCCATGAATGCTCAGCTTCTCGATGAACTACCGAAGTTCTACAGTGTGGCTTTCACCTTGCTACGACACTTTGTGGCAGCGTTTGTTCTGGCTCGACGCGACTTTATGGATCAGGCGCTTCGAGAGAGCTGTGCACTTTTAGAGGTGTGTGCATTATGCAGATGACCGTTGTCTTTATTACGTTTTTTGGTTTTAATTAATTATTTCTCTACATACTACTGCTGCTTTAAAAAAAAAATGTCTTGTTGTGCTACAAATTGTCAGTTACATTGTCAAATTGTGTAAAGAAAGTCATTGATATATAAACACATGGCACAGAAAGACGGTGGTTTGGTGCATAGGCATTTGTCTTGAGCAAATAATCTACTGTGTAGTTGTAATCATGGTCTTTTCATGTTTTTTTTTTAGGGGATGGGTGAAGGGTTTCGTAAATTTATCCGGACTACAATAATATTTTCTTTGGTATGCTCAATGTAAAAATCTTTTTTTTTGCTTGATTTGCATTACTTACATGGCATTCAATGTTGTCATGTACAGCTGCCATCCATTCTTGGCAAGTCAAACATGATGGAGACGTTCAACATTCGGCACACAACAGCCTTTGACCACATGTCACTGAAAAATCTAACTTTATTTATGCGCAAACTGTTGGAAATGTTGTAACTTTAGTTCAATCGGGGTGTCCGACCCGTCAGAGTCACAGCAGCAGGTGAACTGTTCACTAAACTTTAACACTTTACACCCTAAGGGCCTGGACGGGAAGTCCATTGTTCTTGCAACAACGTTTTCATCAGAATCTGAGCCATCTGATTTGTCATATGCTTGTTTTTGCTCATATCCATCAACAAATTCCAAAAGAATTCAATTGTGTCGCTTTATAAAAAGTCGAGACACTTTCGAAGTGTCGGTAACGCCATTTATGCGCAAACTGTTGGAAATGTTGTAACTTTAGTTCAATCGGGGTGTCCGACCCGTCACTCTCACTCTCAGCCTCGCTATAACTTTGCAAATCAAAATCCCGGCCCCAGAGTCTCGTCATGGCGAGACTTCGTTTCTAAAGACGCTAGGTCGGCGCGGGCGAGTCGGGGTGGAGCACGTAAGGGAATTCCCGGGCGAGTTAGGATGTAATGTGTTAAATCTTTTAATACACAGCCACCACTTCCAGTTATTGTTGAATTTCCAAACAGTACGTTCTGGCTAGTGTTGATTACCTAAAAATCAGAGGCGTGTCTAGAGAAAGCAATACTTTGAATGGAAACAGAACCAGATCATGAAAAAAAAGTGGTGAGATCCTCCTATTGATTGAGTACAAAATTTCTCTCCAGCTTTCACCCCCTAACCTGTTTCTCCTTCAGACTCGCTGGTGATTGAAGGATGTCGCCGGTAGGTCCTTTTTTCTGTCCCTTTTATGTTTCTGTCTATCTGTCTCTCTTACCTAGCTTTAAATGGCCATGGGTGGTTGGCAGGTACTCTGGTGTGGTTTGCTCCTTATTTCCTACCAAACATCTATCGGCCTCATCTCCTCTCCTTTTTTTATTTGTTTGTTACTTTCTAATAGTAACACCTCTAAACTTTTGCACTTATATAACCAATGTGTATTGCAAGTGCAATAAAAGTATAAGTAAAATGAAAACTAAATCTAAATTACCAAAATTGTATAGCTGTGCATCTTTTTACCCAAACAAACATAATTCCTTTGAACTCTCCATCATCCCAACCACGCTTTCCCTTCCAGACCACAAGTCCTGGATCACAGAGTGAGAGCCAGCGTGCGTACCTACGTCAACAGTTTGTCCCGAGTAAACTGTTCACGGTGACCTCCACCCACAACGCTGTGGACCTCATGGACATCTCACTCACAGAAGGGACACTGGTGGGCGTGGTCAAGGAGCTGGACCCCATGGGCAACAAAGAGCGCTGGTTCGTCGACGATGGTGGTGAGTTGAGTCAGTCGTTGAGCGTACCATTGCTATTTCTTGGATAAAAAATGAATATGAGATAGTTTAAAGTCAATCGCGGAAATATACATTGTTTCTTGGATAGAAAGTGAAGGAAGTAGGGTGTGTTTCTCTGAGGACATAAAGAGCACCAAAAAAGTAACAATGTAATAGTCTGTTTGCCTTTTTTTTACCCTGGCACTATATGATTTTTGTTGTCTCCATATCACCTCTCTAAGTAAATAAACAAGCAAAGCAACTTATGCCCAAACTCAAAACGGATGATCGGAATTTCGGTTTTCTCAGTGACAAAAGGCTTCGCTCCGTCCAGCATCCTTACGCAGGCCTCGGCCTCCCCTCCGGGCAGTCAGAGCCACCTGGTGGTAGATGACGACGTACTCTCTGTACACTCCTACGACAGCGGCGGCGGGGGCAGCGACAACATCAGCATCAACGATGGTGGCCGTGTCACTTACACTGCCTCTTCTCCCCCCGGGGCCAGTGGTGGTTCTGGAGACCATGCTGCAACATCTCAACAGGAGCCTGAGGCGCCTCAGTATCAGGTATCTTGTCCAATATGTTTATTTCATTGTACAAATAAGATCAGACTTATATGTGTGGCATCATGGTGAAATCAGGTGCCTGCCAGAATAATGAAATCAAAGAAACCAACTTTTTTTCTGGCCCTTGGTAGATTTGTATTGAATTTTTTTTTTTTTGGCTGATAACATTTTATGTCTATCTGAAAAACATATCTGTGTGAATTTTACTGAAAAAAACATTTTTCAAAGATACAAGAAATGTAAATTTGCAGTTTCCAAGACATTCAAGTTTTGGAAGTCCCCAAACTTTGGTGGGCATTTTCTCGCTAATATTACCTTTGACACCAGGTGATTCCACCTTCAATTGGAAATATTTTGACTTCTATTTAAGATAGATGGGTATCTTTTCCACCAGCAAGACAAATAAACAGGCTTTATTTAGATAATACGAATCGCTCTGTATGCTCAGAAATTGATGAGCGCCATTTTGAAGAAATTCGAAAATATTACTTAGCACTGTATTTTTATTTTTTGGGAAAAATTTGGGTTCTTAATCCTGTTGAGACAGTGCCCCTTTCTGCCATGGTATTATCAAATGGATAAGAAGACAGGATGATGTAGTGTATCTCTTTGTGTGACCCACCGTTTTAAATATTGTTTTAATTTGATAGAAGTCAACTCTCTTTTACTGACACAAAAATTTAGATAAAAGCCCAGTGCTTCTATTTTACAGTGGTGTTACAACAAAAAACTGCAGCGAATGTCTCTTCTGTGAGTGAGATGTCCATGAGGTCCACAGCATTGTGGGTGGAGGTCACTATGAACAGTTTACTCGTTACTTTATTACAATCTCTGTGACAGCGGCCAGTGACAATCACTGCTGTATTGGTTGTCTAACCAGTTTGTGTTGTAAAATAGAAGCACTATATTTCTGCCTCATTTCTTCCTTAAGAATTACTTCACCCTGTGACCTGCATCTACTCACACACACTCAACCTCACACACATGCAGGCATGCGCACACTTGCACATACACACACAAACACACTCACACACACACACTCACACACATGTGCCTGCATTCACATGCACACTCAAACACACATACACAAACACACTCACACACGCACACACAAACACACACATGTGCTCGCATTCACACACACTTATGCTCCAACGCACACATTTCTCACAAATGCACACATTCTAACTCCCACAGGCACATGCATAGAGTTGTAAAATCAATGGCTACCCCCAAAAATACTAACTTGGTAACACAATATTTCTCCTATCCCTCAGTATTACTACGCACTCTACAACTTTGAAGCACGGCACCAGAACGAGGCGTGTCTGACGGCCGGTCACCCAGTGACTGTTCTGGCTTTCCAGGATGTAGACGGCAACTCAGAGTGGTGGCTCGTGGACTCTGGTGGGACTCGAGGCTACGCTCCAGCCAATTACATGGCTCCTATGCCCTACAGCTAACACTGTTATTCTCTCAGTAGTAAAAGAAGCAGTGTGTTGTGGTGGCTCATGAATGCTAAAATTGATCACCAAATTGTATTGATTTCCTGTTGTTCAAATCGCTGATGGCATAAGGGGAGGTGTGCTGTAGTGGTTAATAAATGATCAAATTGATCTTCCAGTTATGTTGATTTCCTGGAATTCTAATCAGTAATGGCATGAGGGAGTGTACTGTGGTGGCTAATAGATAATTAGATTGGTCACCTTTTTGTAGTGATTTCCTGGGGTTCAATTATTGTTTTGGGGATATTTTTTGTTGTTGGGGGAATCAGTCCTTCAAGTGTGGCTTCAAGATGGCTGTGTCTGTGTTTCAAGTGCTAGTAATAATAATCCAATAACAGTTCCTGGAATGATGCTGCTTCTGTGACTTGATATCTGTTCTTGCATGCTCTTTAGTTGTTTATTAATTTATCTATTTAGATGCAGAAGCTAACCTATACTTATCCCGGCCGGCAGATATTCAAAAATGAAAATGTGTCTTACCTTGTACATCTCGTAGTTTTTTGTTTGTGTATGTTTGTTTGTGGGTTGTTTTTTTTTTCAAATTAATGTTGCTATGACTTTGTTCTTAGTAGTTTAGTCTTTCTTCCCTTGTGTGTTTTTGCTATGGTTTATAGCTTTCATTCTCAGTAGTGCTTCTGTTACACTTTTGACTGACATGTTTTGTATATGGTGGCCTGGGAAAACCTGACTCTTTATCATTTACTTTACCTTTTAAATTGATACTGAAATTTGAAAGCCCTTAGATTTCCCTATGTGCCACAGTGCAATTTTATAAAAATGCATATGTAAATGCATGGAAGAACTTAAGGATTATAAAGTGGAGAAAAATGCTTTTTGAGGGAAGCACTTATTTTCCAGAATATTGAGGCACCATTTGTCATCTTGAAGGATACTCACGCCTGAACCAAACCTGCCAGTAACCAAGCCACACCAGTCATTTCTATTGATAGAATACTACCAGAGCTCTTAAAAACTCTATCATTCTCATCTGTTGGATGAGGAGACGCATAATTTGACTACTGAGCAATTTGTCAGATTTACGCTCCACAACATTTTTTTTGTCGTATTTGAGCTTTGTTAACTACAATTTTGTCAGACAGAAAAAAATTAACGAAAGAAATGAAAATGATACAGGTTCAAATTTGGTAGAAGTGCATGTTAAATGATCTTTGAGCTGCATCTCAGATCAGGTAAATTTTCCCAGGTCACCAGTCTTATAAATGGCATCTACATGTCATGTTTCTGCCGAAATGTCTGCCTTTTAAGGTTAGCGGTTTGAAAGTGAATGGCCAGGATCAGAGGCCTCTGTGGGTTTTATGATGAAAGTTGTCTAGCACAGATTTTAAGTGCTTCTTCGGCCAGTATTGTGACAATCGATGATATCAGATTGGAGTAGCCCCTTCTTAGATAGTTTTTTTCTTGGTCTGAGCAATGAGGTTCTCTTGTGAAATACTGTTAATGCCTTTGATGAAGGCATCTCTTAGATCAAATGTGTTTGTTCTTGCTTTGGTAAGGGAAATGTCACACTTAATATTATTTATTTGCCTTTTTTCTGTCACCATCTTAGCGTATTAACTTATTTATTGATCAAGTTGTCCTTCACAATAATACCTTTTCTGTTTTTCACTTATAGTATCACTGTTGTCCCTCGATAATTTCTTCTTATCCCATGTCATGAAAATCCTGATTTACAGATATTCTGTTGTTGTAAACCAGGACTATAAACAGCATGGTGTATTGAAGATTCATGCAGCATTCATCGAGTCATGATCATAAAGGGGAAGACATTGTGAGGTTTTCATGTGACTTCGAATAATTCTAAATGGTGTGTCCCTTAGTTGATTGATGAACAGTATTTCGAAGTTTGGAAATTTCTCTCACTATTCCTGAACATCTTCTCTTTCCGGTGTCCCCATAGGGAAACAAGTTCTTTACCCTCAAAAGTACCTTCATCTTGTTTCATACAGCATTATACTTTACTTACTCTGAAACTTATGAAGTTATATAAAAGATATGTTCAGATATCTAAAAGTATTTAACTGAGTTTTTTGTTACACATACATGCAAAATATTAGAATTGTGTACTAAGAACTGCATTTGACAAACTCACGCCAGGCTTAATCGTATAGTCACATTTACACCTGTGTTAAACTTAAGTACAAACGTCAAGATTTTTGTTCATAAACAAGTATTTAATAATTTTATTTTGTTACAGGTCCATTCAAATTGCAAAATATTAGAATTGTGTCCTAAGAATTGCATTTGACAAACTAGTAGTGGGCTTAATCGTATAGTCAGTTTCATCTGGGTACAAACATCAATGAATTTTGTTCATAAACAACTGGCTCTTAAATTTTATTGGGCATTAGCTTTCTGATAAATGGGAGTAGGCTAATTCTGCAGGTGTCTGAGGTGCGGTCAATGAAAATTCTTTATAATTCAATATTGCAAGCTAAATTGTTATTTTCAGTGTAAGCATTTTACATTGTATGCACCCTATTATAATATATCTGTTTCCTGATACCTTACTGATATTTTGAACCGTATTAATTTACCTTGTGTCAATAAACCTGTTTGCAACTCTCAACTATTCTGTTGTTCGCTTTGAGACTTGTTTGAAAAACTGCTGGAGCAAGGGAATTTTGCATTGGAGTTAATTTGTATATTTCACCTGCTTATCAAAAAAAGAAGGGCTTGCCTTTTGCCTTGTACTCTATTTGTTGCACTAACCAAATATCACTTCTTTTCTCAGTAGGATGCCACTTTTAGCAAATTTTCGATGGACTTCAGACACAATGTTTTTTGTGCATGTCATTGGAACACTCACATGTTTTGAATGTTTTCGTGTGGCTGTTCATGTGTGCACGCGTTTGCGTATCATTGCATGATTTTTTGTAGTGAAATTTCAAGATGTTTCTGTGCTTGTGTTGTTAAAAAGGAGACTCATTTTTATGTCTACTTTAAATCAGATAGAGTGATTTATATTCAGCAAGATTTGGTACAATTGAAGCTTTGGTTCTTGAACTATGCAGAAATAATCTTCTGTTGGTGCTGCATAGTCTGTTGGTGTTGAGCTGTTCTTTACCACCGGCATGCTACTGATTTCTTCTGGTGCGAATTCTATTGCCTTTATCGTTACTCATTCCATTCTCTGGCTGTGCTCTGTTTCTGTATCATATGTATATCCGTTTGAACACTTGCCCGTCAGCTGTTGAAGTACAATTGATTAACAAACTTTGCCTACAACCAAATCTTTGTGCTTTAAATACAATTTCGGTGTGAAATTATTTTCTTTTTCCCGGAATATTTTCCCCCTGAGCTCGCAGTTTTTTTGGGGTTTTTTTTGTTTTTGTAAAGTGTTTTACGGCGCTCGCAACTGCATTGGTCATATGAGCGCGCGGGACACACCTAATATTTTCAGTTGGTAGGAAATTTTGAATTTTTACACGGTGGCGGCCGAAGCCTACTCTTATCGATTTTAGACCACCAAGTTATCTTTAACGTGCACAACTTGCACACGGGCCCTCCAAGATTTTTCGCCCTTGTCCGAGAAGGCTAGGTGTAGATCTTTCCTACCAGAAGATCAGGGGTGTGGCAGAAAGACAGCAGTAAGGAGGAGCCAAGGAGTAGCAGTAGAAAGGCTGCAGAAAGAGTCAGGAGCCCAGTGGAGGGGACAAAGGAGGTGAGGGGGTGGGGGCAGAAAGTGGAAATGAAAGCAGACAACAGAACATCGGTCGAGAGCAGGAAAGGAGGTGAAAGGAGACAATTTTAGAGAAGAAAATTTTTCGGTCGCTACCCGGATTCGAACCTGGGACCTTTGAAAGAGAGGCCAACACCTTAACCTCTAGGCCACGAGAGCCCCCTCTCGCAGTTTTGAGGAGACCCCAAATGCTCAGTCTGTAAAGTGACCTCTATGTGTTTCTAGTGTTGACACTTCATCTTAAACAAAAAAACAAGAACCCTTAGCTGAATTGTACCTAGTGGGGCCTTAAACTTAAACTCCGTCTTTAACAACAATAAGTGAAGATACTTACTATATTTGAATCTGTTATATTATTGAAGCCACAAGCTTCATCTACAAGAATAGCAACAAATTTAGATCTCCTGCTTAAATGCACCGAGTGTGTCCTTAAAACTTCGTCTTTAACCACAAAAAAAAAAATCCTAAGAGAAAATTTTCCCCTGGGGATTGGACAGTCCTATTTCCCCTAAACAACGGATATTCCACAAGCCATAGTGACCGCATTGTGTACCGTTGAGCTGTTTTGTACCTGCTCCCAGTAGAGTTGTGGCGTGAAGTTCCTGCTGGTGAAGTTGTCCCTGATTAGTTGGATGAAATCAAAGGTCTTGAGAACATATTGACCTTTGTTGACATGTTTGTATTGACATGTTGGCACTGTAATTCTTTATCATATTTTATCAAATGTCTTGTTTTGACGTGTTTACTAATTTTGTATCGAGTTGCACGACTTTTACAATTGTGGAGTTCAGTTTGTTGAAAGATTTTTCTTTGTTACATGTCCATCTTGGAGTAAGTACTGATAGAACTCTTAAAGTCTTCATAGACACTTCATAGATATCCATGGAACAAGACTGTCATGGTCAAGGCAAATGAAAAATAGATACTTTATTGTATGAGTTTTGAATTTGTTTTTTCATATAATATATTGGAGTCTTTAAGGGTTCCTTAGAATTGAAAGCTTTAGTTAAAGATGTGAGATTTTGTACCAAAGGAGCATGGCACATGTATGTGTGTAGAAAAATGTGTCTTTATCGTGCCTATCCAAAGGGAATGTTTTTTTACATTCATTTCTAGTAGGATTTCATTTTGCAGTGTGGATTCTTCAGACTGTTTGAAGGAGCTGCATTCTTTAAGAAGAATGATTTTTTAATTTATTGGTCACCAAAAATTTGTTATCTTCTCTTTAGAATTTGATTATAGTTATTCCAATGTGTTTTTAAGACTGGTTTATATGAAGTATCTCTCTTAGTCTTGTGTTATGAGCAAGTTTTTGTGACCCTTCTCTCCTTCTCTGCGCAGTCTGTTCTTTCGCAGTATGGCATCCTCTTTTTATGTTATTCAGTCTGCGATAAAACTGAACGAGTGTCAAAGTGCTGTTGCAATACCTTTGAAACTTTGATCTGAACCTATAACCTTTGCCTTGCAAAAAATAATTCTCAGCTGTAATACTGGCCATTCTACTTCATGTCCCCAGTGCAGCATTCAATGTTGGTTGATTTGATCATTCACAGTTCTCTTCCTTCTTTTAGCTTGGTTCTGTCGGTGGTAGACTTTCATTCTGAGGTTGTGCCTCTTAAGTGGCCTTATTGTGTCGGGAGAAGTATTAAATGCTTACTATGGATGGTTTGGGGGGGGGAGAAAGGCGGAAATGTGCTGCAAACATACATTTTTCTCTCTTTTTTGTTTCTGTCTATCTTGCTTTTTCCTGCTTTTAATGACCAATGCTGTTTCGATATGCTTCTCTTTACTCATACAAACATAAACGTGTGCTGTAGCATACCGTACCACTGCTTATATTGTTTGTGTTAATTATTTATTTGGGTGGTCTAACCTCTTCTGTTGTACTACGCCAGCGTCATTCCATAAGTACTGAGATCATTAATTTATTTTTTGCTTGTTTTTAGATAATTAAAGAAAAAGAGAATACTCAAATCGGAACCATTTATTTGGATTTTGTTAATTTTAAGATAAAAATTAGGAAGGAAAGGATGTGGCACAACGGAATTGTTTTTTAAGATGCCCCTTGATGTTATTATAAAAAAAACCCCAACTTCAGCTGGAAAACTCCAGAAACTGACTAGAGTGATTATGGAATGACGTTGACGATATTGCATTCACGAACTTATTCAGCGATATGAGTGGTTGGCGGGTGCTCTGGTGTGGTTTGCTCCTTCTTTCCTATCGAACATCTATAATCCTGATCTCTCCTTCTTTTTTTTGTTTGTAGCTCTTTTGTAACACCTCTACTCTTCAGCTCTTATTTGACCTTATTGTGTAGCAAGTGCCGTAAAACTCTTACTAAACTTGCTCAGCGATAAATTATGTGTATGTGTAGGTATGGTTTGCCTCATCGTTCCAATCAAAACATCTGTCACAGTACTTGTCCTCCTTCTTTTCTGTGTATTTTACTCTGTAGTAATACCTCTATTCTTTGAAACCTCTATGATCTGTTTGTGCTGTAAGAGCCGTAAAACTCTTTCTAAATCGATTTCTTATAGACTCGAGACGTATTTTGTTTTGTTTGCGGGGGTGGGGGGTGTGGGGTGTGGTTGTAGTGTTAAGTTTGTAAATATGAAGAAAATCAATCAACGTACTTGAGAAATATGAAGTTATAAAAATTGAAACCAAAATGGGATAAAACACCAAGTTTTACTTCTAACCCCCCTCCCCCCCCAAAAAAAAAACAACCCCGGTCTGCTACAGGGTGTGAAGAAAAGGACAGTAAAACCATGACAGTCGTATCAGATTAATACCTCACCGTGCTGAGAAATTTTTGGAGGAAAAGGTGTTATACCGTAGCAGCGTGGTTCCAGTGGGACGAGGCAACAGCTTACACGTCGAGAGTGGCCTTTGTATAGTTGCAAGAAAGGTTTAGGGAACGCCAAGCTAAAAGCTGACAAAGTGACAAATAAATAGCCACCACACCTCCCCCAACTTGAGGCCCTTCAACTACAACTTTCTTGTTTTTTTGATAAACAAAATCTATGGAAACAAACCGCAAGCAAACAAACAGTTGACACTCAATGTAGAACTTGAGGTCCAAAGAATCAACCTAGAAACATGCCACGGGGTTTTTCAAAAGTTCCAGTGGCGCATTGGAGCTAGTGCTTGTATGGCGAGAAATGTTCAACACATTATGGAGACTTCACCTATCACCGCTACCTTCAGTATACTTGGCGACATAAATTGTGTATGAATTTGTTCTTCAATTAACACATTTTAATAATGACTATTTGAAAATTTTTGCTTTTCACTCAATTTTGGTTGAACCTAAAAAAAAATGCAAAACTTGATAGATTTTTCTGCTATGCCGATGTACATTTTTCAGATTGACAAATACAAATGTATTGTCGTCCTGATTGAATTTTATTTCTTCTAAGTTTTTGTTGAAATTGTGGGAAAGATAAGAAAGGTTTTACCCTCTGAACTGGTCCTCTTTTTTTTATGGTTCTCCTTTTCTTATCATCTGTTTTATTTTCTGTCTTGCCTTTTCCCTGCACGAAATGACCGTTATCGTTTCGACGTGGTTCTTTTTACTGAAACAACAAATATATGTAATGCGATGAATTAACAAAAAATATTTAGAACGAGTTACACCTCTTCGTAGGGCAATGGGTGCGATGTAGTAGCGAGAAGATTGTGTTTTGTCTAGTGTCTTGGCGGGTGGTTGGCGGGTGCTCTGGTGTGGTTTGTTCTTTCTTTCCTATTAATAATTAAACATCTGTCGTCCTGATCCCTCATCCTCCATTTTTCTGTGTGTTACTCTTTTGTAAACCTCTTATCTTCGTCACTTCTATGACCATGTTGTGTTGCAAGTACCGTAACACTTATTAAAACTAAACTCGTGC